AACGAACAGGCTGACGACATCAACCTCCTGCCGAAATTTAAAAACTAAAACACCAGATGGCTCCCCAGAGTTCCAATTGGATAGATCGACAAATGTTATTTCAACATTCTCGTCCGGTGTCGACCCTTCGATGGAGTCTGCGTTGTTTGGCAGGAATGGCACAGGGTTGAGGTGAAATTCGTCTAAAATGGGGTTTTCAGAGGAGGTCAAAATGGCAAAAGAACCACCAAAAAATAATATGATAAAAGTTGAAATTTATCAAATGTTACAACCTTTGTTGTGATCGTTGTTGTGATCACCATCATCATCATCATCACGCCATTACCATCATCATCATCATCATTATCATCATCATCACCACGTCACCATCATCATCGTCATCATCACGCCATCATCATCATCACCACGCCCCATCATCGTCATCACCAACGAACCACCATCAACAAAACCAACATTTCTTAAGAGAATCAGTGACCATGATGTAGCTGACGTGGCTTCTTTCAATGTAGTCTCTCTCCCCATTGATGCGAACGAACTGCATATCGTACTCAGTGGAACCGACGCTCCTCAAGCAGTCGTACCTCAGTAGGCCTGTCGCTATGACGTTCTGTAGGTCGCCGTCAAACTCGCATAAGAATGATTGTTTGTTTCGGAATATCAGCTCGATGGTGAAACTTTGAGGGGCTATGTGGTTGGTTGGTTGGATGGATGGTTGGATAGATTGATTGATTGATGGATGGATTGATTGATGGATGGATGGATGGATGGATTGATTGATGGATGGATGGATGGATTGATTGATTGATGGATTGATTGATTGATGGATGGATGGTTGAATTAATGAATGGATGGATTGATTGATTGATTGATCGATTGACTGATTAATTTCCTAACCAAAATTATCCAGAATGCACGAACAGACGCGGATACTAATGCTAATTATAGTTTTCTTATTACTAAACTCCACCAGCCAGTATCCAGAGTCGAGCTTATCCCACTGGGAACGTATGTTGAAAGATATCTGGGGTTGCTGATCCTGCCCCGGTTGTTGTCTGTCTGTTTTTCCTCCTTTTGGGGTTGTTGTTGTTTGTGTTTGTATGTGTGCGCGCGCGTGTCGTTGTTGCTGTTTCTATGTTTGCGTGTGTGTAATGTGTGTTGTTGTGTTTTTTATTTGTACATGACGTGTGTGTTTGTGTGTGTTTAAGTGTGTGTGTCTGTTTGTGTGTGTGTGTATTGTGTGTTGTTGTGTTTTTTTTATATTGTATATGGCGTGTGTATGTTTAAGTGGGTGTGTGTTTGTGGTGTGTGTGTGATATTTTGTTGTTCTATGTGTATATGAAGAGTGTGTGTGTGTGTGCTCTGTGCGTGGATGTGTTTTGAATTACTCACTCACAGAAGACACAAACCACACACACACACACACACACACACACACACACACACACACACACACATAAAAACACATCATCAACCACCTCATCAACAACAACGAAAACAACATAAACACTAACCAAGAGCCAACTCAGAGCAAAGAATATAAAAAAATAAATTTGTCAATGAACCCGCCATAATAACAACAACAACAAAAGTAATAATAATAATTATTATTATTATTAATTAATTATAGCACTTATTATTATAAATTATAGCACTTAACAGATTATCACTTACAAATATTATTAATAATTAATAATAATTACATCATAATTGAAACAATATAATTGGCAACATTAATGACAATTATTTCAAATAATTTCGAAATATGTCATCGAGTAATTTTTCTTCCTCCCTTCGACTTTTGGCCTCTGCCTCTGTAGAACACTACACCAGATACATCGATTTATCGATGAAATTTTTACACGCATTTATATACAACAATTTACCTAACAATTCAAACACACACACACACACACACACACACACACACACACACACACACACACACACACACATGCATACACACACACTCACACACACTCACACACGCACACACACATGCATACATACACACACATACAAACACAGACTAACTAAAAATTTGACACATAGTAAATTTATACAACATACATACATACATACATACATACATACATACATACATACATACAAACACACATACATACATACATTACCAATGCAAGTTAACTTCTTCAGAAGTGTCTCTTGGTAACATAAATCAATGCATTGACTTTGATGTTGTGTTTGTATAGTTCCACATATAATTGTGATTTTATAATATTATTATAGCACATATATATAAATTTATTCATTCATTCATTCAATATTTCATCCATCAGTTGATCTCTTCATTCGTTCGTTAGTTCGTTTCATTAGCGCCTCCAACGACATCTTATGAATCAACAGCTACACCATTTCAAAATAGTCTCATCAATTTATTCAATATTTAATTTATTCATTTGTTTATTCGTTCGTTCGTTCATTCATTCATTCACTCATTCATTCACTCATCCATTCATTCATTAAAATAATGATTTATACCTACATCTATTCAGCGGAACCAGTCATTACAGATTTAACTTTCATAAATTACGATTGTATAATTCTATTTATGAATACACGTGTGTGTGTGTGTGCACCTGTATGTGTGTGTGTGTACGTATGTGTGTGTTTACCTGTATGTGTGTGTGTGTACGTGTGGGTTATTTATGATTTTTTCTCGGATTATGTATTACTACATGAGGAGTTAACAACATTCGTTCATTCATTCATTCATTCATTCATTCATTCATTCATTCATTCATTCATTCATTCATTCATTCGTTCGTTCATTCATTCATTCATCCATTCGTTCATTCGTTCGTTCGTTCATTCATTCATTCATTCATTCATTCATCCATTCATTCATTCATCCATTCATTCATTCAATGAAGACGAGACAGTATACAACACTTTAGTTACGCACTCGACGAAAGAATTTTTTCCTTTAAGAACGACCACACGGACATATTTTAAAATAATTTAGAAATAAAAAATAATAATAATAACAATAATAATAATAATTATAATTATAATAAAATATATTTATTTATTTATATATATTAAATTATATATATATATATATAGGGTAACATTTTGTTTTAAAGTAAATGCACGTGTTTGAAGCAAGGTTCACAGAAAGAATTAAGATGGCGATTATGATAATGATGACGACGACGATGATGATGATGATGGTGGTTATGGTGGTAGTATTTGTGATGATGATGGTAGTGATGGTAATGATGATGATGGTGGTGATAATGATGATGACGACGATGATAATGATGATGGTGATGATGGTGGTGGTGATGATGATTACAATTGAAATTATGCTCATGGGTCTGCCGAAGATAATTTAATTTAAAGTGTTTGTTTAAGATAATTAACAACAGCAATAATAATAATAATAATAATAATGATTATGATAATGATGATAATAATAATAATAATAATAATAATAATAATTGGCAACAATAGCAAATCTATAATAACACTTGGAATCACAAGAAACGATCGTAACAAAAAATAACCATGGTGTTGGTGATGATGATGATACTGGAGTTGGTCATGATGATGATGTTGTTGATGATACTGGAGTTGGTCATGATGATGATGCTGTTGATGATAGTGATTTGCAAATAGTTTTCACACGACAACGATATAGAAAGCTAGAAGAACAGTTTAATGAATGAATGAATGAATGAATGAATGAATGAATGAATAAACGAATGAATGAACGAATGAATGAGTAGATGAATGAATGAATGAATAAATGAATGAATGAATGAACGAATGAATGAGTAGATGAATGAATGAATGAATGAATGAATGAATGAATGAATGAATGAATGAATGAATGAATGAATGAATGAATGAATGAATGAATGAATGAATGAATGAATGAATGAATGAATGAATGAACGAGAAAACGCACGAATTCATAAATGAGTACCAAAACGACAGACATTTTCGCCAAAAACAAAGTTAAAAATAAACTGGAATACAAAAATTTTTTTCAAAAAACTTCAATTTAAAGTTAAGCTCAAAATAATTAAATCTAAATCTGTAATAAAATAATTTACCAGTTAAAATTTATTATTATTATAACAATTATTATAACAATTATTACTATTATTATTATTATTAATATTATTGTTACTTTAAAAATTATTTATATACTTAAAGCATTGTTTGACGTCAATTAAATATTTAAGAACGAAGCGTTGAAACAATGTTTACGAATTCATAATAAAATTATCTTCGTTATTATCGTCAGTATTGTTATTATTATTGTTGATGTTGTTGTTGGTGTTATTGTTGTTGATGTTGTTGTTGTTGTTGTTACAATTACACAATGACGGTGCTTGTGACAGCTTTTCTATTGGTGCAACTCTTAAACGCTGGATTCGGAGGATATTGTTGATGTTGTTGTTGTTGTTGATGCTGTTGTTGATGTTGTAGTTGTTGTTGATGTTGTTGTTGATGCTGTAGTAGTTGTTGTTGTTGATGATGTTTGCGTTGTAAATAATGTTGTTGTTGTTGTGACTGCTGTTGTTGTTCGTGTTGTTGTTGTGGAGGAAGAAGAAGATGATGTTGTTGTTGTTGGTGTTTTCGAGTGAAAAAATTGTTTAGATAGTCCACTTCTTCGTTCGGGTTGTAGCCTGTTGAAATGACGTCATTATTATCATTATTACTGTTGTTGTTATTGTTGTTGTTGCTGTTATTGTTGTTGTTGCTGTTATTGTTGTTGTTGCTGTTATTGTTGTTGTTGCTGTTATTGTTGTCGTTAACATCATCATCATTTTCATCATCACTGTCCAATTATTCAACTACATTCAACTGGACAAACAGCAATCAAGCATACCGTTTCCTCATTCGTTCATTCATTCATTCGTTTGTTCGTTCGTTCATTCACTCATTCATTCATTCATTCGTTCGTTCGTTCGTTCGTTTATTCACTCACTCACTCACTCACTCACTCACTCACTCACTCATTCACTCACTCATTCATTCATGCATTCTAACCGACCTTGATTCTTCCCCATGAGAAACATGTGAATCTCTTTGAATGATGGTCTCAACGCCACATCAGCATTCCAACACTCCCTCATCAAATCGTACATTTCTCTCGGGCAAGATTTTGGTTTAGGGGGCAATAAAAACCCCCGAACGCCCCCATCAGCGTCTTTATCATCACCCCCGTTGTTATTAACACCCCCACCACCGGTACAGATAACACCACCACCATCATTTGAAGTTGAGATATTTGGCGAGATGATGAGGTTAGGGGCGTTTATGGGCCGGCAACATAACTGCAGGTTTTCCACAATTTGCTGGTCGGACATGTTTGCCAGGGGTCTCTGTCGACCTAGGTTCATGACCTCCCAAAAAGTTGTGGCCAGCGACCAGACGTCGCTTTTGCTGGTGTAGCGATTCTGAATTTGTTGGTGTGGTTGTTCAGTTCATTCGTTGTTGGATGTCGGATGGATTTTCAATTATTCAAGTAAAATTTAGAAATCACTGAAATGAAAATTGATCAAAAGAAAGCAACGCCCACCAGAACCAGCGCTTCCCAAGCAATCCATCTGACTGGCAGAGGATCCGGATGATTGACAACTTGAATGTAGTCGCTACTGTAGCAACCACCACTACGCCAGCCGCCCAAATCGCTTATTTTCACCTTCAATTTCTTCCCTGGTTTTTTGAGTTAGTCATATTTTTGGAGCAAAAATATCAATTAAAATATGACCTCGCATGTATATTTCGACTGCATGTGTATAAACAAACATAGACTCAGACACACACTACAGACGTTTAACAAACACAGACTCAGACATAGATTCAGACGTATTAATAACAGCCATTCAGAAAGACATTTAGACAGGCATCCAGACAAAAAAAGGCTTCGACCTTCATCTCCTGACTAACCTACAATACAATTTCTCGCAGCAAGATCAGCATGTATGATACTCTCCTCTTCCAGGTACTTCATTCCAGACGCAATTTGAGAACATATGTATATCAGGCTGCCGTATCTGTGTGCGTGCGTGTGTGTGTGTCTGTCTGCGTGTGTATGTATGTGTGTGTCTGTTTGTGTGTGTCTGTATGTGTGCGTCTGTATGTGTGTGTATGTATGTGTGTGTATGTATGTGTGTGTCTGTCTGTGTGTGTATGTATGTGTGTGTTTGTATGTGTGTGTATGTATGTGTGTGTCTGTATGTGTGTGTGTATGTGTGTGTCTGTATGTGTATGTGTGTGTGTATGTGTGTGTGTATGTTTGTGTGTGTTGTTCATGTGTAAAAGATAATTCCTACAGATAAAATTGCAAGAAATCCTTCAAAACAAACCGGAGAAACAAAAACTTTTCCTCAATTTTTTTCTCTCCACTCCAGTGAGCCGGCTGCCATCATGGATGATGACGACAGCAAATTTTCAGCCGGCGTTTTAACACGTTTTGACACGTGAGTTCTTAAACAGTTTTTTCTTTTTTTGTCTATTTATCCTCTACCCTCCTTATCTTTTTATTCATGTACTCTCTCCCTCTCTCTCTCTCTCTCTCTCTCTCTCTCTCTCTCTCTCTCTCTCTCTCTCTCGCTATCTATCTATCTGTCTGTCTGTCGGTCTCTTTGTCTGTCCTTCTGTCTGTCTATCTATATCTATCTCTTTTTTCTTGTTCTTTATTCTTTATTTTCTAATTCTTTTATTCAGTTTTTTTTTCATTTTCTGTGCGCTCTGTCACTCCTGCACTTAAAATCCACTTTAAAATTCTCCGCTCTCTTAACAGCTTTTTTAGGTATGTTTCAGGGAGAGAACTTTTTATCGTTCTATGTTCGTAGTTTCTAATTCTTTGTTCTCAGTTTTTTATCTTTCTTCTTAATTTTTAATTCTTTGTTCTTAGTTTTTAATTCTCTCTTTTTTTAATTGTTTTGCTGTATTCATCGCATCAAATTTTTCATGACTACCTATTGTAAATTCATTCGTTCATTCATTCATTCATTCATTCATTCATTCATTCATTCATTCATTCATTCATTCATTCATTCATTCATTCATTCATTCATTCATTCATTCATTCATTCATTCATTCATCCAACATAAAACCAACGTTAATTTGCAGAAACCAGCTATCTGCTGCTGCTGTCTTTCATCTAGAGTTCCGTCCACCCATCCTTCGAAGCAGTATTCGCTTAGGAACCGTTTCAAATCGCCGAATTGCGAATATTCGCTGATAATCGACAACTGATCCGGCAGGTGGATCCGACCGACGACTCTTGTGACGCTTTCGTCGTTGTTCGTCTTTGTCGACCTGATAAGCTCGGCTTCGAAAGCAAGTCTTGTAAAGAGGTATTACAACATCATAGGGTTAGAGAGAATTTAATTCAAATACTTCTACTAAAATGCCGAATATGATTGAAATGATTAGAAATGTCAAAATGAGTGAAAATGTGAGTACACTCACTTAGCCATCGCGTTTTTCTTTATATCAAAGGATTTAACGACGACGTATTTCTCATCGTCGTCGTCGTCTTCACCATCAACATCGTCTTCATCTCCGCCTACTTCAGCTTCCCTGCGATGTTTCCTCTCATAAATGTAAGCCTGAATGATGAATTTCGTTGGCGAGGGTGATCATTTAAAAAGTGATAAATCACCTCTTTAAAAAGTCACACTTCTTTGCTAATTTAATCCAGTCACAGATTTGACCTCTACCTCTCTTAAAAACTGTAACCCCCTCAAAAATATGCAGATTTGACCCCTACCTCTTTTAAAAACTGTACCCCTCCCTTAAAAATATGCAGATTTGACCCCTACCTTTCTTAAAAACTGCACCCCGCTCAAAAATGTGCCCTAACCCCCCTTCCTCCTCCATCCAACAAAAACCGAAACACCCACTTCTCCAAATTGACCATCGCCAATTTTCTCTAGAAGTTTCAAATCGTCAAGAGACTCCATGTTAAGGATGGTCGTTTGGGCGCCACTTCTGAGGCTGAATGATGACATCGAAGATGACGTAGTTGTTGTTGTTGTTGTTGACGATATTTGTGGTTGCCACATCGAGTCAATGATTGCGTAGTGTTGTTGTTGTTGTTGTGGTTGTTGTTGTGGTTGTTGTGGTTGCAGTTGTAGCGTTTGTTGTAGTTGCGGTAGTTGTGAATGATGATTCGGCTGATGTGGTTGTCTTCTATGTGTCAAATAATCATTAGTGTTGTTGTTGTTGTTGTTGCTGTTGCTGCTGCTGCTGTTGTTAATGTTAGCAGATACAAGAGAAGACGGCCTAGTCCAAATGGTAGAATAGTCATGACTAATAATGTTGCTGTTGTTGTTGTTGTTGCTCTTTTGTGAATATCTATGGTGTAGGATGTTGTTGTTGTTAATGTTGTTAATGCTATTGTTGTTGTTATTGTTATTATTGTTGTTGTTTTGCTTGAACTTTCTCCATAAACTAGTTCTCAGCGTTGTAGGCATGATATGAATTTTATCTGCGATAAACAATATTAATAATGACAAGAGTAATAATAATAATAATTATTATTATTATTAATTATAATTATTATAATTATAGTAGCAACAACAACAAATAATAATTATTATAATTATTATCTTTATAATTAATTCATAATAATTCATAATTTCCAACTGGAATTTGAAGGCAGGTCGGGTAGCTGTCTATTCTTAACCGAGGTTGATATAGTTCTTCTGCTAACATTAGAGTTGTTGTTGTTGTTGCTGTTGTTGTTGTTGCTGTTGTTGTTGTTGCTGTTGTTGTTGTTGTTGTTGGGGTGTTGGTGGAGGGCGGCGTTGAAAATATTGGCACCCTCTCCTCTGAAGTAATTTCCCACACAACTATTATTATTAAAATTATTATTATTTTCATTGTCATTATAATTATTATTATTATTATAATTATTATTATTATTATTATTGTTGTTGTTGTTAACGTTGGCTCTCAGAAAACTATTAGAAACACTATTCAAATCGTTATCCCTGATGGCTTGATTCGCTATGAAATTGGGATAGAGATTAGGATCCGGATTTTCAGGGATGTGCAAGTTTTTAGATTTGTTGGGGGCGTTCAGGCAGCGATCGTAAAGCTCCTCGACCGAGGCGTCTGGCGGAAATATGACGTCATTTCCTTCGAAACCTTGTTGTTGTTAATATTATTACTCTGTCGCTTTTAAATGGATAAATTGGATGAATGAATGAATGAATGAATGAATGAATGAATGAATGAACAAATGAATGAATGAGTTAATGAATGAATGAATGAATGAATGAATGAGTGAATGAATGAATGAGTGAATGAATGAATGAATGATTAATTGAATGAATGAATGAACGAACGAACGAAAGAACGAACGAAAAAACGAACGAGAAAATGAATAAAAGAACGATTGAAAAAATAGATAAATAATAAATAAACAAACAAACGAACGAACAAATCTATACAAAAGTATATATAAAAAAACCATTTGACCCCGTATGACCCCAACGCAATTAATTTACCCCTTATGGGCGCGCCATTGGAGAACCCTTGGTTTAAAGGGTCACATTTTATAGTTCTGTGAACATATTTGTTCTTGCATCTTCTCTTTAGTAAACAAAACGTCAGTAAAATCAGTAGGAAGATTAAAAAAGTTGTTGCCAGGCCGATGACAATCCCGAGATTCGTATCGTTATTCTGTTCAGAATTTACGACACCGTTGTTGTTGTTGTTGTTGTTGTCGTGGGAAGGGTTGTTGTTTTGAGTTTCGCCATCTTGGTCAAAAGTTGTTGAGGAAGAGAAAGAGGATGCTGATTTGGCGGGGGTTGTCTGGTTGTCTGGGAAATGTTTCGATGAAATAGTTATTAAAATATTGAGAGAAAAGTAAAAAACAGAGAGAGAGAGAGAGAGAGAGAGAGAGAGAGAGAGAGAGAGAAAGAGAAAGAGAGAAAGTGAGTGAGAGAGTGAGAAAGAGAAAGAGAGAGAGAGATAGAGTAATAAAAATAGAAACAATTCTTTCTTTTTCTTTCAATTCTTTCAAAATTTAAAATTCTTTCAAATTCTTACAAAAAAATAATACTGCAACGTTGACACACACACACACAGGTACACATACAAACACACGAACACCAAAACACACGCACACACGCACGCATACATACGCACGCACGCACACACACACAAAGATACCTGCTTTGATATTTTCACTGACATCCCCTGCGAGATTCGGAGCGTTTATCTGGTGACGCTCTGAAGGTTATATAAAAATGGAAGTTATAATAATTAATTATACTTTATTTTAATATAATTTTTATAAGAAATATTATAATATTATATATATATTATATTATAATTGTCATAATAAATAAGCACTAAGCATTTTATAGTACAGTTTTGCGTTAGTTAATGTATAAAACTCTGAACATTTCAACTATTCACTGACCAGATACAAATTGCATCTCACTGATAAGTATCCATTCTCCGTTGTAATCGAATTTCACTTTTATACAATCACCAACTCCGGATTTCAGATCAATCACTAAGTTTCTTATCCCGGCCTGGCCGCCGATTTCGTTTGGAGATGGCCTGTAAACCAGGGATGTGTCTCCGACCGATTCGAGAGTTGGGCGATTCTGTCGATTCGAATACCGATTTAGGTTCTCGGTATAAAATGTAAAAGTTGACGACTTGAAGAGTTTAATGGTCGACATGTTGGTGAAGGTTGAGATGTTTACGTAAGTGAACTTTCTGAGGCTGTCAAATCGGAAAATAATTTCGAGAGGTTTTTCATTCTTCCTTTTCCTCCTCCAGCCGATGAAATGATTCATATTGACCGTGCCATCCCTGGTCTGTGTATCGTGAGGACCGCTTTCTCCCTCACCGACAATACCGATCAGACCGTCGGTAAGTTGGCCTAGACCGCCGAGTAGATGGTTATCTCTGACGTCGCCGTCGTAAAAGTCGTCCGCCAGATCGCCTTGTGGCATGTCGTAAGAGATCGTGCCGTCTGTGAAGTTTTGAGTAGTCAGTGGTAGTGGTTATGATTCGCTCAT